CCTGATTCTGCTTGGTGTAAGAGGGGGCAAAGGAATACTCTGGAAGCTTTTCAGGTTTCACTAAAAATTATTCCTGAATTCCTGAAACATAATTCACTCTGTTTCCTGACTTGGCCTACCTCAAAGGGCTGACACTCCCATACTCGCTTACTTGTTAGTTGGGCACCTTGATATGTGGCCAACGTGCCATCCTAAACTTCTAGATACCATCTAAACTCACCCCACCCCATGTTAGGAAGTGTGGTTATTTGTTTAAAGTATTTCTAAATTTCTTATCATTAAACTAATTCCCCAGGTATATAAAACAAACACATACAACATAGTAATGCTAATTCAGTAAACAATCAAACCCATAAGATAATTATATAGTACAGATTAATTAAGAACAACAGGAGGTAGACTTAAGAGAACCAGAAAGGGCAATTTAGTCCATGAAATCTGTCTGTCTATATACTGTATTCATAGTACTAGAGAAAAATTCCTTGTATTTAACCACAGTTGGCCAAATAAAGTATTCTGCTCTGCTCTGTTCTGTTCTATCCTGCCACAATCCCAAGGAGTCCTTTGGAATTTCTACATTTCTGCCCCATACAGAATATCATCCCTAAGACATGGTTGTCCAGCCTTCACTTGATGATATAATGAAAGGCACCAGTAGATAGGAAACCAAGACAACTTCCAGATCAGGAGCTGATTCCTTCAGAGGAAGTGCTATTGTTTCTCACTAACTACTGAGCCAATATTCCTGAAGGTTTCTTGCCACAGAGCCATTCAGTTTTGGAAGAGTTCAACCTGAGTTTATTTTGCCCCTTCCTGACAACCTCCAGATACTGATTCAAACTTTCCCTGGTCTCTCTAGTTCTGTAATGGTATGTGGGAAAGACCTTGGCTGCATTTCTTTACTCAGTCTCCCATGGTCTTTGCCACACTGAATTTCAAGTTCAGCCTGCAATATGTTCAGCTGATGATATTTCAACTCAAATGGGCTGAGGAATCTTCACAATAGATGTGTGTGTGTGTGTGTGTGTGTGTGTGTGTGTGTGTGTGTGCATTTGTGTGAAATTTTTACTTAACAGTTTCAATGAAGGATTATCATATTTCATTGTAATCATACATAATCTGTGAGAGCCATTTTAGTGTAATGGTTCAATGTGCTGTACCAAAATCTAAGACACTGTTCTAGTCTTCCCTTTGGTATGAAACTGGCTGGATGATCTTGGGCTAGTCACTCAATCAACTCAACTCATTTTACAGAATGGTTGTTGTAGGGAAATAGGAAGCTAGACATTATGTACACCTTCTTGAATTGCACACAGTAAAGGTGGGGTGCAACGATTCAGTGGTTAAAAGATGCTGAGCTTGTCAGCTAGAAAGCTGAAAGCCTAGATTTGAGACCTGAGCGCCATGCAATGGGGTGAGCTCCCATTACTTTCCCCAGCTCCTGCCTACCTAGCAGCTCAAAAGCATGCAGATGTGAATAGATAAATAGGTACCACTTTGGTGGGAAGGTAACAGCATTCTGTGTGCACCTCGGTGTATAGTCATGGTGACCACATCACCATGGAAATGTCTTCAGACAAAATGGCTCCCTCAGCTAAACAACAGAGATGAACACTGTCCCTTAGAGTCAGAGACAACTGAACAGGAGAAACCTTTACCTTTACCTTTAAAAGTGGGATATAAATCAAATAAATATATAATTTACAACTCATTCGTATGTCACAAACAATACCAGATTTTCCATACACCAAATTTTTGGAGCCATACATTTATCTTTATAATGTTGATGGATTAGTCTCTTAAACTATAAGAAGAGTAATGTAATAGGTATGTTGGAAGACAGAGGGAAGATCTGCAGAAAGGGCCAACCATTGAATAAGAGGCAGCTTAGATTGCAGAAGGAATCACAAACATCCAAGAAGGGACTCACCCTAGCTGCTTGGGCTACAAGGGCGAGAGGGGAGAAATGAACTTTCAGACTTGCAAGATTCTGTTAATGTAACCTTACAATAAAATAGAGCTAGTACCTCTAAGTGTGTTTCTTCTCTGCACAAAGGTGACAGGTATGTGGAAAATCCACTTCCATGGCCAGCCACCAATTTCTAAGTACTAGGTATATGTTTAGGGAATATGGACATTTTGAAATATTAAATCTTGTCAAAGTCAAGTTGCTGCTGCACTCATGTCAGAAGCACTGAGGCACTTCCAGATTGACAGACTTAGTGACATCACCGTTGCCCTGGGGATGCCCAGTTGGGGTCTCCTTTCATGTCCCTGGCATGAGCTGGAGTAAAGGATGGGAGCTCAATCCTGCCCCATGGCAGCTCTCGAACAAGGGCTTGCTAACCTCCTAAGTGCTTGAGCCACCATGCTCAAAGTCAAGTTAATGCATATAATTATAATCAGAATGTTGCAAATACGTATTTTAGGGAAGCATTATTCTCTGTATATGACCTAACAATGTGGTGGATTTATTTATTTTTTTGCAATGGGGATTCAACAAATTTGAAATATTTTTTGTTCAACAGTAAACTAAGATTATTGAAAATTCTGATACTGATGTTAAGAACATTACTCCTTGTTTAGATAAAATGGAGATCACTAATTCCTTATTTTATTCAGTCTTTAAAATTTGTATATCAAACTGAGGCTCAAGTTGCATTGCTTCCTTTCTTCCTTTTTTCTTTTGCTATTTTTCCCCCCTGTCTCTCTACCACTCCAGGATCCTTGGAGTTGTTCTTATTATCAAAAATAAATTGATGGTATTTGATCCTGGATGGATCAAAGACAAAGATTGTGAAAGATTTATGGGAGAATAGAAGCTACTTGTGGACTTTCTGTGAGTTAACTACAACAATAGATTGTTGACAAAAGGCTTTGAGGATTAGTTTTGTGGTTAGGACTACCTGTTAACTGGTGTTTCTTTATATAGTGTATGGATGATAGGTCAAATTGGTTGATTGATAATAGATTTCTATAATTGTGATACTTTTTAATGTCATATAGCAATTTTGCAAATATAGATGTAGAGGTTTATAGATTGTGGACCTGTTTTGCAAAGGGGGGGGAATTGTTGCTGAAATATATTTATCAGTGTTCAACTGGGGGGGGGCACATTTTGTGTGTATGCTTGACATTTTGTTTTATACACTTTTTTCTTCCTTTGGAAATAAATAAAAAAATCATGCCAAAAAAAATAATACTGTTTTGAGTCATATTTCTGGCTTCTATGCTGTCAGCTATCCCAGTCAGGGTTGAATCGCCTTAAAATATGATCAACATTTTTCTTTCACTTCATCCAAGTCATTAATTAACATATTGAAGAATATTTAGCTGAAGACTGAACATGAACATATATCATTTAGTGCTTCGCACCGATTTGATGAGAAGCTATTGAAGTCTGAGCCAGCCGTAGATCTACTGAATCCTGAATACATTTGTTCATCCTGTCCGTTCTTCAGTAGCTTGCCAATCAGGATACAATGAAATACTTAGAAATGCTTTTCTGAAATCAAATTACTATATATGATGACCCTCAGCATTCCCACAAGGGTTAAACATCAAGTATTGGTATGGCAAGAATCATTCTTGAGAAATTCATGTTCTTTTATTTAATTGGAGAAAAGAATGTAAGGAGAGCAAGGATAGATTACACAGAGGAGGTGTGGCTTGCCATCTTCCCTGTTCATTTTCCAGCCTGCAACTGAAAGAATGAATTAGGTTCATTGGGTCTGACTCAGCTCCCCATCCCTGCACAAAATAATGGATAGAGTTAGACAACCTAGCTGTTTTAAAGACATTGACTATATATTCAACCAACATTAATAATGGAAAAATCTTGGGCCCAGCAACTAACCTATCCCTAGATATGGTCTGAAGCTGTAACACAGTGGTTCTCAACCTGTGGGTCGGGACCCCATTTGGGGTCGATTGACCATTTCATGGGGGTCGCCAAGCAAGGCTGTCCGCCATTTTTTTGTCCGCCATTTTTTCTCCCTTTTCCAGCGGGTGCCTTACCTCCCTTGGGCTGGGCCAGCTGGTGGTCGGCCTGCTCCGTCTCTGCCACTTGCCAGCTACACCTCGGCCGGCGCAGGTGGCAGAACCACGCATGCGCGGCGCTCCCGGGCAGGGAAAGTCCTCGACTTACGACCAGTTGGGTAGTCCTCGACTTACGGCCGGTTTAGTCCTCGACTTATGACCAGTTTAGTCCTCGACTTACGACCGGTTGGGGTTGCGGCATTAAAAAGGTTGAGAACCACTGCTGTAACCCATAATTGATAAAAATTATATCCCCTTCCCCTTGCTTCCTTCCTTCCTTCCCTCCTTCCTTCCTCTCCCTCCTTCCTTCCCTATTTTTATTCAAATAAAGTTAACTTGCAAATGTAGATACATTTTAGGCACATTAGTTTTCATATATCCTCCTTCAAATACCATTCTACCTGATACTGTATATTTTTTATTGTTATGGGGGAATTTGCCTACATTATTTTCACAGAGGAAGGCATTTTTGTGTGCCCTTTCCTTTGATATCTATTTGTCCATGTTATTGGACTGTAGAAATATTACACTGAAAAACTGGGAAGGATGAAGATGAGAGAGATAATTGGATTGTGGTTTACAGATTGGTTGGAAAGGGCAAAAGGAAATATGTATTAAAATGTGTAGGAGAAGGTGGGTGGGGCCAGCACAAAAAGATGGCATGGGATGAGAAAAATAACGTATAATTTGATTACATTGAAAATTAATTTATGTGAATACAGTTACTATGATTATTACTGATGTTTAATATGTGTGATAGATAGATAGATAGATAGATAGATAGATAGATAGATAGATAGATAGATAGATAGATAGATAGATAGATAGATAGATAGATAGATAGATAGATAGATAGATAGATAGATAGATAGATAGATAGATAGATAGATAGATAGATAGATAGATAGATAGATAGATAGATAGATAGATAGATAATTTGGCCAGATTCAAAATTACAATAGGAACAGATCATTCAATATTGCAGGGTCTACAAAAGTTTTGTTGTTGAGTAGTGTTGGTTGATAGTCTGAAGTTCCATTTTCCCAGCCATCAAAGAACAATCAAGGGTATGACCAGAGGGATTTTTTCCTGGAAAACTATTCAAGATTCTAGAATGTATAATGGAAAGATTCTAAAATGTATAATGCAAAAAAAATCCATGCTGTTTTATGATCATTGTCGAAACCTCTGGCAAAAAGAAGTACTTTCACAAACTTATTGGTACTGGGAACATAAGGAAATATGTGGAAGTCGAAGACAATTCAGGAACTACTGTATTCTGGATCCCAGATGCACGAAGATTTAAAATAATTTTGAACAGAACAAGGAGAGAAATTGGCAATGAGCACAGGCCAATTAGTCAATGCAACAGATTTCTTCTTGACTTGAAGCCCTACAGGTAAGTTAGACCACAGTGCCCATCTTCTTTTGCCAGCACCCTCTAATGAAAATAAGACATCCTCATTTATGAAATTTGCCCTGAATTTTTATTTTGAGGAATGTCATTTATATATGGGCTATTTCACAATTCTCCAAAATTAAGGTGTGTCGCTCCTCGGCCAGCTACTCAATTGGCTATTCCTCAAAGCCTTCGTGAGAATAAATGCTTCCTTTCAACCCTGCCCATGTCAAAAGCTGCTTGAAAGAGTTGCAGATCTGAGTTAGAAAGTGTTCTTTGGCTCTTTGCCATTGGAACATTTCTCACCTCCTCCTGCTGACTTTTGAAATTTATCAAGATGAGCAAGTATCTCCTCCTCGGTTTTTCTGTTCTGGTCTTCTGCACAGTTGGTAAGTGCCAAGTTTTCAAAAAAAAAAAAAAGAAGAAGAAGAAGAAAAAGTGAAAGAGAAATATTATGCTAGACTAGAGACATTTGCCTAGAGAAAGGGACTCAACAGTCTGTAATCCACCAGCTGTTCTGGGCTACAAGAGCCGGATGATCTGATCTTCTAGAAATTGCAATCCAAAACAGCTGGAAGCAATCAGATGGCTTATTCCTGGATTAAGTATTTCAGCATTGGGGAAAAATAGTTTCTAATGCTTTACTTTATCTGTATTTTATCTGCCCCACCTGAATCTATCTGACAAGAGTTTCAGGCTGTGATGGTCTCAGTTTTGCAAAACTGGTCCATATTCTTTCTGCACTGCAATCTGCAAAACACTGTGCTCTCTGTAGGGTTCCTGTGCACCAATTTTGTTAGATAAATCCAATAAAAAATATAGCCTATTTGGATAGGAAGGTAATAGCATGGGGTAAATTAATGTAGTTACCACTGGTGGGATTCCAAAATATTTTAGATTGAATCAGACCATTTGTGGAAAGGAAGAAAATCTGATGTGATGTTTCAGTGGTAAACATAGAAAGTCCCCTGGGCTAAATTCAATTTTTGATGGTCTAGATATGTCTTTCTTGGTAAGAATGTAAAGGATTTGCCCTTGCCTCTTGGAAGTTTTTCCCCATTCAAACTAGTATATAGCCTGGGGTTTTCCTAAGTTCCCATCCAAGAACTAAATACTGTACAATCAATCCTGCTTGAGCACCTATATTTTTGTTTCATTTAATTTTTAGTTTTGGCGTTAGATGCCTTATATACAAATGAAGGAGCCATATAATATTCCTTTTTTAAATCTAGAAATAATATGCGGTTTATGCATGTGGATTAGTTTATGCACATTATTCAGGAAAGCAAAATCTGGTTATGCCATCAGACTGTTGAGTGAGAGAAGAATTGTTTATGGGTTTATGATTATATGGGGTTTTATGGATCCTTGGCATAAGAATATTTTGCTAATGTTGTGTACCATTTGTGGATTGTCTTGTTTGTTCTTATTCTGGTTTTAGTTATTTGAATCCTGTTAATTCATAGTAGAATTATAAGATACTCAAAGTTGGTAAATGATTGGAGCAGCATATAAGCCTAGTAGAATGAATGAATGAATGAGTGAATGATGAATGATTGAATGAGTGAATGAATTGCAGAAAAATTGAGCTTTATGTTGCAGTGCAGGCTTACTGAGAAGTAAATCTCACCATATACAGTTACAGCTTTAGTTTATTATTAGTTTGCATAAACAAACCTCAATAAAATAACCAAAACAAGGAATTAATTCCAGGTCCCTTAGACAAACATACTAATCCTATAGATAGATTGACGTTACAAAACTTCATGCAATGAAAGAACTTGTTTATTTCAAATCACCATCATCAAACAGTTAAAAATAGTGAGGGGCACCTCGCCTTTTTGGAGTTGGGTGGCAAACAAATGAAAAAAAATATATTATTATACACATTAGCCTAAACTTAATTAAGTAAATAGAGCTTATATACTTGCCCCATGCATTTCATTATGTTTTTAACTTCATTTTAAAAAACACAATTTTGACAGCAATTTTTAGACAGATTTTAAGAACTATTCCCAAGTCTTTTGGTATCCATATTCAACTGTCCATTGCTTTGTTCAGATATCCAGCTGAAAAATAATAGAATAGAATAGAATAGAATAGAATAGAATAGAATAGAATAGAAGCTGGAAGGGAGCTTGGAGATCTTCTAGTCAAGCCCCCTGCTTAAGCAGGAGAACCTATACCATTTCAGATAAGTGACTGTCTAATCCTTCTTAAAAATGTCCAGTGATGGAGCGCCCACGATTTCTGAAGGCAAGCTGTTCCACTAGTTAAATGTCCTCACTGTTAGGAAGTTTCTCCTTAATTCCAGGTTGCTTCTCTCTTTGATCACTTTCCAACCATTGTTTCTTGTCCTGCCCTTTGGTGCTTTGGAGACTAATTTGACCCCCTCTTCTTTGTGGCAGCCCCTCAAATACTGGAATACTGCTATAAGCGAACAGAGTATCTCAAGCGGCTATGTAGAAAAAAGAAATTCAAGAGAGAGTGTTGCCATTCGATCTACACTTGCAAAAATTTCAGAATACTAGTGGGGTGTAGAAATCCCTCCTGTTGCATTTGGCTATGTTGGTCATTGGTTGCTCTTTTCACTTTAATATATCCACTAAGAGTATTAAAGAAACTTGGCCAAAATTTCATTGGGAACATATTTAATTATTGGCTTACTTCTTCACTTTATTTCTTTACTTTAGGTATTATTTTTGTATGCTACTCCTTGGAAAGACTGGCTAACAATCTGTTGGTTGCAATGTAGCAAGAAGCAATAAATGAAGTTTGCTACTGGCTTTCATTCTCCTTTTTCAAAACTACCATGGATCCATGAATAGATGAAAACTAAGTCCAATGTCTTATGTACTTATTCTTGGGGGGGGGAGGAAAAATGATCTTGTGATTTATAGATTTGATTATTGGAAAGTGTAAATAATGGAAAGAAGGAAATGATTATGTAAACTTAAAGAGAGAAGGTAAAATATGCATTACAACTTATGACCAGTCATTTGGCAACTTTTCATAGTTATGATGAGGCTACTTATGACCTGGATTCAAAGTTTTTATGGTCACACTGCTCTGCAGTCACATGGTCAAACTTTGGGCACATAGCAGTATGGCTGGATTTATCACCCTTCACAGCTCCTCTGGCCATGTGATAATAATAATAATAATAATAATAATAATAATAATAATAATAATAATAATAATAATAATAATAATAATAATAATAATAATAATAATAATAATAATAATAATAATAAGAATAAGAAGAAGAAGAAGAAGAAGAAGAAGAAGAAGAAGAAGAAGAAGAAGAAGAAGAAGAAGAAGAAGAAGAAGAAGAAGAAGAAGAAGAA